CCTGAACCTTAAGGGCTTTATTCCTCTCGTAGATCTTGTACTCCTTCTCCTGCTATTTTCATCATTTTGCTGTATTTCTCTCTCTACCGTATTTCTTTCCCTGGGAGACCTCGATATGTCCCGAGCTAGGCTGTAGTTATATGTGTTTTCTTGCATAATCTGGTCTTCGTCCAAACTTTCAGACTCCTTCTGGCCCTCTTCATCCTGCATTGTTTCCTTTTGTAATGGTTGTTCTACCAACTCATTATCAGATGGAATTGAAGACATTTCTTCATCATTTCATTCTTCCTCTTCACCCTGGGTCCTTATTTGGTCAGCATGGGCCAACACATTATCACCATTCTCTCTATTTATTATGGCTGTATTATGGCCTTTTTGCATTATAAATTCTGCCCTTTCCGGATCTGCATCTTTGTTTTTTTTGTACCACATTTCTTCATTTGTAGAATACGACATCGTTAGCAGAACTCTAATCTGTCTTCCCATTAAAGCTGATGGGCTTTCTAGTCTTCCCACATGTGGTATCGTACGATAACTTAAAAGCAGCCTCGGTAGAAAAACTTCTTTTTCTTTTTGCTGAGAGCATGCTTTTAGCCCCTTTTTTTATGGTCTGTACCATTCTTTCAACATTTTTCTCTTTTAATTTACACACTGCTTGAAAGTGGTTCTTTTTTAAGCAATTATTACAAGTTTTCCTAAATGCTGGACACTTTTCCTTTTTCATTTCATGTTCACGCCCACAATACGAACACTTTTTTATCTTCTTTAACATGTACGTATCAGTGAAATTTTGTTTGCTGGGTTGACTTTTATAATGGTTGTATGTCTATATTAGTTCTTGTTGCTGCATAAAGTCAATACATGTATTTAAAGACATATTTCCTATTTGTAGTTGTTCCATTATTTTATATTGGTGTGACACATTGGACATACGTTCAATTAGTCTTAATTGAATCAAGTCCTCTTCCACAGTCTGTTCGTCTTGTCCAAGTTTTTCAAATTCACAATATCTACTTGCATTTCGTAGACGGTGTAGATATTTTATAATTGGTTCATCAAATTCTTGTTTCATCGACATGAATTTTGTTCTTTCTGCCACTACCAGCCTTTTCTTGGGTCTCATATTTTTTTTATAATCTGACTTATTTTTTCGAAAGTCAGGTCTTCCAAATTTAAGGGATATGCCATGGTGGAGACTTTTATTACCGCCTCGCATCCAGCTGTAGTCAAAAATAAATCCATGATTTCATTTTCGCCTCCCTTTTCCTTGTTGTCTTCCAACTTTTTTGTTCTCGCAATGGCAGAGAAACAACGAATCCATGTATCCACGAAATCTGGATCTTCCAGAGACAATTGATATCCTATTGGCGACGCCATTGTTGTGAAGTAGAGGTTAGCACTAATCAGCTGCTAGACTCGTTTGACTGCTTTGTTATTCCCAGTGACCACTTATTTGAGTGTTCACTTATGCTTATGCAAATTATGCATACTAATTTGCTAGTATCACTACGCAGTTAATTGTGGATTCTTACACAGAAATATAGACAGAATTATTTTTATATTATTTGTTACTAATTTCTATATACCAGAAAAATGTTAAGTAAATAAATGACAAAGTGTAACACATTTTGTCTCTAGAAGGTTTTCATTGTACTAAAGTAATGTTTTTGTTGATGAAATTATATACGTGTAGGAGGGGGAGATAAAAAATTGCAAGTATCAGTTATAATTATGAACTGAGATGAATTGCTGAAGATATTTAAATTCAATTTGAAATACAGCAAAGTACTTTGGTTATAAGAAATAATAAATTTAATCTATTAGCTTGAAAGTAAAACTAAAATAAAAGCTTCAATAAAAATTTGTTTCAAAAATAGAAGCTAAAAACTTCAATTTAATTATAGAAATTAAATTGAAATAAAGTACCCAGCTCGGTTTCATCCTCAAGCAAATTTTGGAATGACTAATCTTGAAATTTACAAAGCTTTATAAGATTAGTTATTCCAAAATGAATGTATGTCTTAGATAAATTGACACTTTAGATATGTCCAACAACAGAGAAACTGTTGCAAACAAAGTTTAGATAAGGTAAAGTAGACACAGTTGTATTAAACAAAATGTTATTTTTAAGGAATTTCAAAATTTTTTATACTACAAAACCTTAAAAGGGGTCACTAGTATAATTAAATTTTTTTTTTTTATATATATGGAACCTAAAATGCGATATTATATTGAATGGGCAATGCAATAAGGCAATATTAAAGTTGGAAAAATCAAAGAATTAAGTAAATATTATGGACTATTATATAGTAATAAAATAATGGATATGTAATTGCAATGTGTAAATTTTTTTGAAAAATTCTTTTAACTATATTTTAAAGTAAACATTATCCAATGCCTACAAATTACTATTAATTCATTTCTTTGATTTAGGAGAACTTTATTTTTAAGAAACTTAATAATATCAACTTTTCATGTAAATACAGAGGGCATGGATCATTTAAGGATTTACAGATTCTTGCTTTTTTTTAAAATATTTTTCCATTTTATGGTAGGGGTTTTATTAATTTCTTCTAAATACCAAAAATATTTAGAAAGGGATGTTTGGTTACAGTACGCATTGTTATTAAAAGAAAACATATGCTGATACTACCTCTGTTTAAAGGGGTTTTTGTACAACCAATATAAAATTTCTTAAGTCAGATTTTCACTAGATGAAATGGTACATTGGTAAACAATAGATTCAGTAAGATACCTATTTTACAATAGACAAATATTAGGATTTCTGCACTTACACAATTTTCATTGTTGATTTCAGTTTTGGAATTATAATTTTTAGTGACTTAAGTGTTGATTTAAAATTTTATTATGTTTTTTAATATTTTTTTTCTAGATTATCTATACAACTGTAACTTAATTTAAGTGTATTTTTTATCGAAAATCTTGCTTACAGGATTATTACTAGGGAACTGTATCTCAATCAAACCGAGAAACTTCTGGCCAAACTTAATGCTATTTGGTTAAATGGAGTGTGTGTACCAAATGATTTTTCTATTTGTATTTTTTTCTGGCTATCACTATTATGTTTCCTGTATTTAATATCAAGGCATTTATAGCCACTATTTTTAAGGCATTGTTGTAAAAATTACTGTGTTTATAAAATACATCTTCATTGGGAGAGTTATTACTAATTCTATATTCTATGGAGGAGGGTATGTGTTTTATGAAAGGTTTTGTGTAGCAATGTAAAATATAAAAAAAACATTATAATAATATTTTGCTCAATGTTGTATTGAGCACGTTTTTTTAAAAAGTAAATGCTAAGAACTGTGGATTTTTAATCTGTCTGTTCTTTCTCTTTATATATATATATATATATATATATATATACACACAAAAAGTGATTTGTACCCACAGAAATAAAACAGATTTAAACAAACCAGACGTCATGTTATACCTTAGGTACCTTTCGACCAACACTTTTTCAAAGGTATACATTGGCAAATTGGAAAACAATCAAAGACACAATCAATATAACGGATGAGAAGGGAAAGTTGGAACGCAATTAAAAAAAAAAAGATAAATTTTAATTACAAATAATTAAAATTCAAAAGGGGATGAAAATAGCAAGATTATAAAAAATGAAAATAGCAAGATTATAAAAAGGAAAAAAGACACTCACAGTCCCTCCAACAAGCATAAGGAGCATATAAAATGCTCCTTCTGTTTGCACAGGCTAGGCTGGTGAAATTTTATAAATATAGCCTCCAAGATGGTACACTGAGCAAGCATTGTAATATTGAAAATCAAGTGTCTTCATAATTGGTGGCACAATCATGGCTGTTGAGCAAATGCTGTCCAATAGAGGAATCATGAACTGCTCAATTAGTTCTTATAGACTGGCTCCAACTACTTGAACGTAGATAGGCGGGAACATGCTGTGCAACTTGCATCTCCAATCTCAGATTGGTTCATCCTATATACACTGCATCACATCGGCATTTAAACTTGTAAACAAGTAAATTTTTCTGAGAATAGGACAACCGATCCTTACTAAAGGAAGGAAACACAGATCTTGTTTGAAAAACTGTGCACAACTTAACAACATTGTAATCTGATGAAATACACGCTGAAATTCTGTCAGATATTAACTGACATTTCCTGCCAAGGTAACTTTAAATAAATAGGGCAACGGCTGGGTCCAAACATCACTGATTCCTTGAAATGTTTGATTTTGCTGTCTATAACATGTCTGATAACATTGATGGGATATCCATTATTTTCAAAAATATTCTGAATAATAATAAGTTATCTATCTAACAGTTCATGGAGAACAGATCATCATAGTGCGATGAACCAGGGTCACAATCAGACCAATCTTACAGGACTTGGGAACAAACAAATTCCAACTTGTATATAAGCTGGTAAATGTGGGTTTGCGAAAAATGCTAGTAACGAAAACCCCATCCTTATATTTAACAAGGACATCCAAAAAGGGTAGTGCCCTATCATTCTCAACCTCCATTGTAAACTTAAGGGATGGATGGAGAGAATTAAGTTGCACCAGGAAATTAATAGCATCACTGGCGGAATTAAAGATTAAAAAAGTATCATCCACATCTCATAAACACAAGATTTTTTTAACCTTATCAAACAATAGTTGCTCATAATAGCCCATGAAGATATTGGCTAAAATAAGACCCAAAGGGCTTCCCATAGCAACACCATCAGTCTGAACATACATCATCTCATTGAAGCTAAACTCCACTCCTTCTGTGTTTGGCTACTGAAGGAGTGGAGCTTAGCTTCAATGAAGTTTAGCTAAGATATATGTCAATTTTTTTTTTTAACGTGCATTTATGGAATAAGTCCTACTCCTGGATATGGGTATGATTTGATTTATTTTTCCTATGTAGCTAAATAAGATAAAACTTAAAAAATATAACTCCAACAACAGTGAAATAATCTAGAGAACTTCAATAAATCATAATTATTCTTACCTGGATCAAAGATGTCACTAAATTGATAAGCAATAAATGCTACTACTGCAAATAAGAATAATTTGATCCACATTTTGAGCGAACTTTAGTCAAATTCCACAACACCTGAAACAAAAAAAAGATTTCTTAATTAATAAATGCATTCTTTTGGTGAAAGGGAAATGAATTTACTAACTTTTCTTCATCTGCAGACTAATAAAACATTTATAAGAATAAATTGAAATAAAATTTATCCCTAAAATCCAGAAAATTTCCAAACTACATTTAGGTCATTAAACTCAAACATACACCTAATTACAAAACACTTTCCAAAATTACACAACTCAAAAAGTTATATAACACCAACAAAGCTTTATTCATAATTGATATAATCAGTGTGCAGAGATCATGTTAATGTCATAAGATCAAAGAAAGTCATAAGAGAAAGAAAGAAAATATATATATATATATATATGAGAGAAAGAGAGAGAGAGAGACGTGTGTCTGTGTGGAGCACCATTTCAGATTTAAATAATAAAAACTCATCATATAAATAGTAACACAATTTTTGTACAATTTTTTTGTTTGCTAATCAGTCTTTTAGTTAATACTGAACAGGTTGTTGTTCAATCATTTGTCACACAAACAAAACAAATTCTCACATCATTCACTTATTTCTTTTGAGTATACAACATTAAAAAAAAATTAAGTTCAGCATTAGCATCGACAACATTCTGCTCACTTGTTTACATGTGTTAACAGTTATACACATAACTTCCTGCCTTCTTTCATTCAGCCTACAACTAGAATTTATGCATACAGTGCAAAAAATATAAATTTGTGAAATATACATCTGCACATATGCAACAGTAGCATCTAGCCTTTTCTCACTTTAGTTCATAAGGGCTACAACTTCATACACACTAGACCTGTGACATAAACCTATTAGACATACATCTACAAACACATTTATTATTTAACATATATTAATGTAATTCATACAGATTTACTGTAAAAAAAAGTTGTTCAAAGTATTTTTGTAATTCATTTCTTTCAATTTGTAAGAAAAATAATAGTTCAATAAATAAATGTTATTAAAATTTGTACATCTATATTTGAAGATTAATTTAATTCTTTGTTTTTACACATATATTCCACTACAAATAATGAGTGACCACCAATGAACAACAATCTAAAAGTTATTGCAGACTCAATAAAATATTTTTCAATAACATACAAATCCGATCATCTACAAAGGATTGGTAACCTATAAATTACATTTACAAATGATTGGTGACATCAACAAATATTGTAAACTAGCTGACATTTCAATAAGAATCCAAATAATTGTGAAAAACTGGCTGCATTCTAAATGCATGATCATATAGACTTTTGCCTACTAAGTTCAAGTCAAAAAAAAATTGTTTGATGAATGTTCCAGACAACAAAATACTGACATTCCACTTAACAGTGTGTAAATCTTTCTATATATATATATATATATATATATATATATATATATTGTCATCCACAGACTCTTTCACTGTATCAAAGTTCATCAGTGTGGCTAGATGTCTGGTTGCCTCTAGCTAGGATTGAAGCCTGGCTGAATTGGCATCAGTCAGAGAATCTACCCCTAAGCTGTTGCCATGCGGTAGGGATGAAGGTGAATTCAAGCATATTTATTTTTAGATAAACATGCCAGTGACTGAGAGAACTTGATTCATTTTATTGCATTAGTAGCAGTAATAGTCACTGTTTACACACTTTCTCCCCAGAGAGCTCAACTGAAATAGATAATATGTGTGTGTGTGTGTGTGTAAATATATATGCTTCAAAATAAACTAATTAACAAGGAAACATGCACAACACATACACCTATAAATATCAAATTTGCCTGCTTCTATCTCTATCCCATAATATACAAAAATAACCCAGGAAGGCCAGTAATTTCATCATTTAACTGATGCATGACTAAAATATGCAAATACATAGACCATTACATACAGCCCCTAGCTAATAAAGTAAAATCCTACATCAGAGACACAACAGACCTACTAAACAGTATTAATTATATAAAAACAGTGCCAGAAAATGCAACTCTAGTAATGATAGATGTATGATCACTTTATTCTAACATCAAACACATTGAATGACTAACTGCCCTTAAGGAAGCACTTATTAAAAGAACAAAGCAACAGAATTAATCATAAAACTTATGGAACATATTCTTACACTGAATGCTTTTGATTTCAATGGAAAACACTACTTACAAGTAAGAGGATATCCTATATATAATACATCATTTTTATATATATATATATATATAGATAGATAGATCATAATCTATCATAATATATATATCATAACCTATCATTATATATCATAATCTATCATAATCTATCATAATATACACTATTTACATTATTTGGACTATTGTCCTCATCTTTGTCGCCATATTTATTACAATGTTTCGGCTGTTGTACACTCTTTATCCACTGTGCCATGTGTTCTTGGCAAAGAGCCAAAGAGTGTAAGTTCAATACCTGGTTAAGGCAGTGGAGAACTTGGAGAGGATAATTAACAGGAGATAACTGACATCCATTAGACATGCCATGTGGAACTAGAACAGTCTACTCCAGTGAATGAAATAAAGGGTTCAGTTCAACATTCCAACCACCTGAAGAAGGCTGGAGTGTACAATGGCCAAAACATTGTAATAAATATGGCAAAAAAGATGAGGACAATAGTCTGAATAATGTAAATAGTGTACATAATACCTCATCTCAAAAATATAGACAGATACTACCATAATAAATATATATATATATATATATATATATAGCATAATGAGAAGCCACGTATACTTTCTTAATATGTATATATAGAAAAAGTTGCAAATTAAAAAAATAATAATGTTTTTTATGAAAGTATTTATTTATTTATATATATATTTGATATTTCAGATTGACCTCAATCTTTCTTCCGAAATAACTGTTTGTTTACAAGTAGCATCCGTCGCGAGATACGGAGGTCACGTGATATGGAATGTCACATATCAAATATATATATATAAATAAATACTTTCATAAAAAACATTATTATTTTTTTTTAATTTATTTATATATATATATATATATATATATATATATTTAAATAGGTTTGTAACGGTACAAAAAGCGTATTCAGAAAGGCATTAAAAACTAGAAATGTATTTTAGGCCATGATATATATTTTTTTAAAAACATACAGTCGTCCATTCATTCATGTCCCCTTTGACAGAACTTTTAACAGAATTTAGATCATAATCTAAAGAAAAAGAAAAAAGTTCTGTCAGAGGGGACATGAATGAATGGACAGGACTGTGTGTGTTTTATTTTAAACTTATATCATATATACATATATATACAATACTACATTTCTAGTTTTTAATGCCTTAATATATATATATATATATATATATATATATATATATATATATATGATGCCTATGAGAACTGGGCTGTAACATTTGGACAATATTGCCCTGAATCCACCAACACTAGGGGACTTAGTCTTTTGGAGTTTGCGAGCAATGAGAGGTTCACCACTTCTAACAGCTTTTACCCTCATAAACTGTCAAGAAAAACAACATGGCATACACCGAATGGGAAAACATACTACCAATTTGATGTCATTTTGACCCCAACATGCATTAAGTCAAGCATCAATAGAGCAAAGACAAGAACCTTTCCCAGAGCAGATATAGACAGTGATCATGACCTTGTGCTGCTGATAATGAAGGTCAAGCTGAAGAGAAAATTTCAAGCTGCACATCCATGTATTTTGTTTGACCTTGAAAAACTATATGATCCACAAATAAATGAGATTTTTCAGTCACAGTTTGGAGGACAGATCAATGAAACAGTCTGCAAAACAGCAAAGGAGGTTCTTGGTTGTCAGAGGAAGCAACACCAGCCATTGATTTCTAAAGATATCCATGACCTCTGCAACATGAGAATAACTTTGAAGAAGACTAAAAACGCCAACCAAGTACACAAGCAGATGAGGGTAACCAAGGAATGTTGGATCAACCCGCAGTTTGAAAACATCAAGAAAGGAATGAAAAAGGGAAACATATGATACATTGAAAAAGCTTATGAATTCATAGTGGAGTAGATCCACAGCTATCGAAGATATCTAAATTAACTTCTAACCAAAAACACTGCAGTTCTGAACAGATGGACACAGTACTGTCGGGACCTATACAAACAACCCATATAGCACGATATCAGTTTGATTGATGGAGACTCAACATCAACTTTACCACTTCCAGTGTTTTTACGGAAGAGGTGGAAGAAACCATATGCAGCTTATCAATGGGGAAGTCACCTGGAGTAGACAATATTCCAATGGAAGTGCTTAAGCATGGAAGGAATGAATTGGTCACTGTAATAACATTGCTCTGCCAGAAGATCTGGGAGACAAAAGAGTGACCCACAGAAAGGACTCAAAACACTGTGGAGCAGATCTTCAATTGCCACATTCGGATGGAGAAATATCTGCAACATGAGAAGGATCTGTTCTATAACTTTAAAAATTTCAAAAAGGCTTTGAATATTGCATGATGGTCTATGGCAGGTCCTGAGAACTGTTGACATAGAGGAGGGCCTCATTCAAACCAATGAGGCACTATAGAAGACATCCAGCAATGTGGTCCTTAACAGTCAGGTGGACAACTATTTCAAGACACAGTTAGCATCCATCAGGGCTGTTTACAATCTCTTTCTTGAGAACATCATGCAAGAAACCTTTCAAGACTAGCAGTTCACTCTATCCATAGGAGGGAGAATCATTAACAACACACACTTCACTGATGACATCAACTGGTTGGGTGGCAGCAACTCCAAATTACAGGTTGTCACCAACAGATTGACAGAGCAAGAGCAAATGGAAAAGTAAAGAGAACAGTAAAGTCTTGGTCAACAGCACAACCGACATCAGAGCCCAGATCTTTATGAACAGAGAACAACTGGAAGAAGTGGACACTTTTAAAAATCTTAGCATTAACCTCACAACAGAAATCAAGACCAGAATGGCTATCACAACATTGGCAATGGCAAAACTCAGATTTGGAAGAGCAAAAA